CAATTGCTCCCTTTAGTGTTTGTTATTTGTGATACAGAGAATGGAGAGAGTTGGATGTGATTTATGGTGTGCATACATCATTTTATCACACGCAGAGAATTGTGTATTATTTCATATCGACATGCTGGAATTGTGAAGGCACTTAATGAGGTAGGTAGTGGTTGGGAGGAGCCAGATGCACGACATAGGCTTTTCATATGGTTGTCGCTTCTAATTTGCATGCTCAATTTAAAGATATTCACTTGAAGAATTTGTTCGTTTGGACAGCAAATCAACGTCAAAAGAAGAATTTTGATGATGGATTTAACGGGATAGGCGAATCGAAATGCAAGCACAAGCACGAGAATATCTAGCGAACATTGGTTTGGAGAAGTGGTCTTTACACCACAACGGGGGTATAGGTATGGTACCACAATAACGAACATGGTTGAAGTTTTCAATAGCATCATGGAAAGTGCGTGATACCTTCCAATAACCGCCTTAGTTGAGTTGTCATTCGGTCGTGTGAATGCCTATTTTGTGGAAAGAAGAGAAACTAGTAAGAGAAGGTTAGCAGAAGGACATCGCTACTGCCAGCAAATGATTGAACTGATTGAGAAAATACGGAAAAGACAAAGCATCACAAGGTCACAACATTTGACATAGGCCATGGTTTATATCAAATGGAGATAGGTCGTGGTGGACGAACTGTGGGGAGGGGTGGTACAAAACAAACGGTGAATTTGCATTGTCACCATTGCACATGTCAAAAGCTGAATATTTATAAGATTCCTTGCTCACATATCTTAGCGGTATGCAAACAACGTAGTTTGTCCTATGATGCTTTTGTTGATATTTTTTCTTATCATCGGAGTATGTGGCTTCTTATAAAAGAGTATTTAAACACATACCGGATATAGCTTATCGACCTACTTACACTGGACCACGAGTTGTGCATGACCCAGGAATGATTCGCGCTAAAGGTCGTCCGAAGGCTACACAATTGAGAAATGAAGTTGATGAAGGTTATGGATGGACCCGGGCGGGCTTTTTTTGCAATTCCTTGGGCCTGGAACCGGCCCGGTTTGCTACCGGGTCCGGGCCTAACCGGGTCGGGCCGGGCCGGGCCCGGTTCAATACTTAATTTTTTTTTACTTTCTTGTTATCCCCCGACCCCCCCCCCCCTCACCCCGACCCCCCAAAACACCCAGCCCAACCCTAGGAAAAGAAAAAAAAATTGAAAAAAAAAAATTGACCCGGGCCGGTTCGCCCAAAACTGGGCCCGAGCCCGGCCCACCTGACCCGCCCACACGGGCTAAAAGCCCGGAACCGGCCAACCGGGCCCGGTCCGGTCCGGGCCCGCACAGTAGCGGGCCGGTCCGATTCCGGGCCGGTTCGGCCCGGCCCAGTCCATCCATAATGAAGGTCCTAAAGGTACTGTTAGATGTGGTTTATGCAAGCAAACGGGACATAATAGGACGACATGTGATAGAAGGTCACATGGACACGTAGAGAGTTCCACTATGTAATGTTATTGTTTCATTCACAAATGCATTAATAATATTAAAAAATAAATAAATTTAATTAATAAAAAATAAAATAACTAATACATATATTACTTTTACAACGCCGATGCAGGTGTCAGTGGATCCCGGACCGATTGATCCTTCAGTCCTGACATTGCAGGTCACGCATCGGAGCGACGATGTGTGGCGTGGCCTTGATGTTCAGGTAAATAGGTGTAGTGAACACCTACACACTATATTCCACATGCAGGTGGACGACAGGATTGTACATTACGTTCGATTAGTTGGGTTTTACGAGGTTCACAGACTAGTTTTGACTACGCATTTAGATGTGGCTATACTAGCAGGTCTTCCGATCCAGGGTCTGGCCGTTACTGGGTTTGCATGTAAACTATGGGTTGATGTTGCCATAGATTGTTGGGAGTACGGCCACAGCCTGGGACAGATATTCAGGAGGTCCGCCTTGAGGATGCCTTGGTTGAGAGAGCATTTTACTGCTTTACCTGTCGTGTGAAACGCATTCTTCTTTAGCAAGCAAGTTAATGACTTTCTTAAGATCCCATAGTTCTTGATGAATTTTCTGTAGTAGCCGGTCAAACCCAAAAATCCTCTTAATCCTTTGGTCTTAGGGGTTGGCCAGGTCTGCATGGCTTCAATTTTCCTAGGATCAGTAGACACTCCATTTTTGGATATGATATGCTCCAAGTATTCAACCTCCTTAACCCCAAAGATGCATTTGCTCTTTTTAGTAAATAATACATTATGTCTGAGCACTTCAAGAGTCATTTGTAAGTGTTTTATATGTTCTGTCCAACTTGAGCTGTAAATGAGGATATCATCAAACTCAGATTTGGCTGAAATATGCAGTTCGTCAGACTTTGAAAAGTATAAGGGGCATTAGTGAGTCCAAAAGACATCACTAGGAATTCAAAATGCCCTACATGAGTCCTGAATGCAGTTTCTTCTTATCTTCTTCCATCATTCTTATTTGCCAATAACCAGATCTCAAATCTATTTTGGAAAATACACTGGACCCATGCAATTCATCTAGCAGTTCATCAATGATAGGAATTGGAAACTTATCTTTGATGGTTTGCTTATTTAGCTCTCTATAATCAGCACAAAACCTCCACCCCCATCTCTTTTTTTATCATAACCACTGGTGCAGAAAACGGACTTTGATTGTGTCTTATGATACCATGGTCCAGCATTTCTTGGGTTATTTCTTCAATAGCATCTTTTTGGATCACAGGGTACCTGTAAGGTCTTACATTAATCGAGGTAGTTCCTGGTTTGAGATGGATTTTATGATCATGCTCTCTGTGTGGGGTAGTTGTTTTGGTTCTTCAAATATGTCTGAATATGAGTGAGGCAACTGATCTAGCTCTTCCGATTGGTACTCATTGTCTTTTGCACTGCCATAAGTACTCTGGGATACCTCTGGTCTTTGATTTACTTGAATCACCAGTAGTTGACCACTCCAACTTTTGTTTTCTTTCTGTATTTCCTTGAGGCTTTGACTTCCATTCATCCAACTGAGACTGCCTTTTTTATTACCTCTCAGAACAACTCTTCTTCCCAAGTAACTAAATTCCATAATAAGATCTTTGAAATTCCAATTAATCTGCCCAGGGAAGCTAACCATTCAATTCCCAGAACCATTTCACAGCTTCCTAGAGGAACCAGCATAGTGTCAGGCTACAAATTCTTGTTCATGTAGATTCCATTTGAACTTCTGGCAAGTTAGATTTGTAAAGATCTTTTCACCATTGACAATTGACACGTCCAAAGGATAGGATTTAGAAATCCTACAACCCAATTTCTTAGCAGTTTGGAGATCTAAGAAATTATGGATACTCCCAGAATCAATCAAGATGTGCAGGTCATGGTTTCTCACCTTCCCCACTACTCTCATGGTGTGAAAGTTTTGATGACCAGATAAGGCATTTAAAGAAATTAATGGTGGTTCATCATTTTCTTCTTGATATCCTTGATAGCTGGTTTCAGTGTTGTCTCGCCCTTGAAGTTCCACCTCTTCTTCTCCTGATTCTTCATTATCTTCTTCCATAATAGGCAGTATTTGAATCTTCCACAATAAAAACACAAGTTTCTCCTTCTTCTCTCTTCAATATCCAAAGAAGATAAGGGCTTCTTTTTTGGATCCATGATGTTTTTGCCTTGAGAGTTTACAGGTTTAGGTAGTAACCCTGGTAGTTTGGTCTGAAAGCCTGGTACAGAATTATACCCTTTTTTAGTTTGATTTTCTCCATTTCTGAATGTAGGTCTGTCAAGATAATATCTTCCTACTTTCTTCGGGGCTTCTTAACTGTTTTCTTGCAAACGAGCATATTCCATAGCTTGCAGTAGAGACCTGGGTTTAAAGGCCTTAACAAAATGTTTTATAGTAGGACTGAGACCCCTATAAAACTGTCCAAGAAGATGTCATCTGGCAGTTTTTCATTTTTTCGTAACATCAGGCCTTTTAAACTCTCAAAACTCTCAAACTGGTCCATGTATTCATCAAGTGAATTGCCTTGTCTCAGTTTATTGAATTCTTCTACCACTGATCCACCCAATTCTTCGTTAAACCTGACACAAATATCAAGAACAAACTGCTCCCACACAATATTTTTGTGCACAGATACATATCCATTGAACCATGCTTCGGCTGTGCCAAATAGATACAATGAAGCTAGGTCTACTTTCTGATTATGTTCAACCTTACACAAATCAAAGTATCTAACACACTTTTGTATCCAACTTCTAGGACATGTTCCAATGAAAATTGGAAACTCAATTTTTTGAGAAAATCCAAGAAGTTTAGAATGATTACCCGAGCTTAGCTGGAATCCAACGTTCTCATGCACAAAATGAGGTTGATGAGAATGATTCAAGTGATTGGAATGAGTGTCTTCTTCTTCGAACTTCTTTTGTAACAGTTGGAGCATGGTGTCCAATTTTTGTTGTGTTTCAACGAATTTGAGTACCAATATGCAATTCTGTTCCTCAAGTTGTCGTTCCAGACTAGCTACCTTATCCTCCATGATCACTAATAGAGCAGCTACAGTAAGTTTCTTCGCCAGAGTGCTACAGTCTTCAATGGCGGAAGGTTTTCAAATCTCTGATACCAATTGCTATATTCAAGGATCTGAATTGATGAATTAACTTACAAGAGTAGGAATTCTAGAGTAAAGAATAGATTCGAACTTAGACAAGAAATGAGATATAGAGAGCATAGGGAAGAAGAAGATGAATATGATTCCAGATGTCTAAACAGTATACAATTGGACTTATTTATACATCCAAGTTTCCACCAGCCCAACTAACCGTTCAAACTAACTTTGTTAGTTAACAACTACTAACAAAGCTCAGTATTAGCTCTGTTTCTATACAACTGACATGTAGACTACAATTCTAACCATGACACTCCACGTGGACAGCTTATACAATTCATAACATAATAACGATGACAGTAATTATGATACGATTAATTAGTTGGGTATTTAATAAAGTTGTAATAAATTAAAAAGTTGAGAGCAATATGTGTTTTGGAATTGGCGAATTTCAACAACCCCGGAAAGTAACAAGAACACATTGAATAAAGAAGCTGATCATGTCTCTTATTCCCTTAGCAGCCTTATTTAAATTACTGCACTGCTATAAATGGAATTAATCTTTCGTCCTCATCACACTTCACTTCTGAGATTTGAGTTCTTCTACTCGCTTTTCAGTCTCCCTCAATGCCTTGCCATATATACTAATCAACTGAAACCAGATGTGCATGCAATAAAAAAGCTCAAAAAAACAAAAAAGAGTTTTAAAATAATACAATGAGTTCATTGAGATTATATTTCTAAATGTTGAAGATGTCCTACATCGCCCTAATATAAAATACCAAACCAGCGGCCAGCCTAATAGGCATCACACTGCTCCTACCTTTAAAGATGAAATCTCAAGTCTTAACGTGATATTAGAGTACACCCGACCCTTAACCATGACGTGGACCATTATGAAATTAGAAAAATGTACTAACCTTGTTTGACTGCAGTAATGTGTGTGACCGAATGAAGAATAATATTACAGCCCGTGATTGGATGACTCTAGTGATGACTGATGAGTGTCTGTGCATCCCCCCTATCTAATACTTTTTCTATTCATACATAGTTGACATAGTTGGACTTTCACAACCACCAAAACATGATTTTGACCGTCAATATATTTAAATGGTTACAAGTAAAAATTACGCAGTATATAAAAAAGGGAATTTTATCATTTTAGGACCTGAAAGAGAGACGAGTTATCAATCTGGGATCTGAAAGATGAAATGTATCGGTATAGGACCCGAATGATGCAAAACTATCAATCTAAGACCTAAACTTTCATAAATTTTATTATTTATTTTATTTTAAAAAAAATAATAAAATTTAGTTTTATTAAACTAATAAACTTTTGTGAAGAAACATTCATCAAATATTAGCAATGAAATTTAAAAAAAAATTAAATGAATCAAAACCTATGAAATGTGAGGTCCTAGATTGATAGTTTTTCATCATTCGGGTCCTATACCAATACATTTCATCTTCCAGGTCCCGGATTGATAATTCATCTATCTTTTTGAAAAGTTATTTTGAAAAGTTAACATTTATACAAATTCAACAAAAAAATCATAATGGGATTTTTAAATGAATTGTTAATTAAATAGGTTAAAGTAGAGTGTTTGAGTAGTTCAAAAATCGATTTCTTGCCGAAAAAATTAGAACTACAGGGACCAAACTAGGCGGGCACTAGGCTTAGTTGGGCACCAGCTGGTCTAGGAAAAGAGGCCTAGTCTCATACTCAGGCGGTAGGCGGTTCAATAAGAACATGTAGCAGATCTAGGAAAAGGCTAGAGCCCAGACAGGGATTATCAGAACAAAACATACATTACCTCGTCAACTTCTTCGTGAGACATAATAAATGGAGGAGACATCATTATGTTGTCACCGGCTACACGGACGAGCATCCCATTCTTTTGACACTGAGCTCCAAAATAAGCACCAACACCTGAGAGAATATTTGAACAATGAGTTTTACGTTTTACCCAAAAGTTTGGATTAAGTACACATTAAAATATTGTGTAGAATATCCATACAAGGGACGGGATGATAATTACCCCATTCAGAAGGGAAAGGATCATTGGGAGACTTGTTGTCACTAAACTCTGTTCCGAGGATCAAGCCAAGCCCCCGTATCTATAAATTTAGAAGAGCAATGCTATATATTATTTTGTGGAAGGAACAAAGCAGGGATGAAAATAAGTTGTACCTCTCCGATGATTGGGCTGTCTGAAAACGCTTTTATACCGTCTTGGAATTTAGGAGCTATTCTGTTAACTTGATCAACAATATTTCTCTCCCTAAATAAAAATCGTAGCGATGTCACATTCTACTTTATCAAAAGCTGTATTAATAGGTAATAACTAATAACCACACATACTTGTAGATCTTTAGTGACTCCAATGCAACAGCACAAGCAACCGGATGCCCAGAATAAGTAAAACCATGGGAAAAAGAACCTGGTTACACATTAAGGGTCCGTTTGGATGATGCAAAATACTAGGAAATGAAAATATGTAGGAAAACACATAGTGAAATATTGGAAAAAATGTGAAAGGGGGGGGAATAAAAATTAAGATAAAACTCAATAAATTTATTTTAGATATTCACTGATCCTCATTTATTAATAGACTCGGGAATCTAAGCACTTGTAAATAATCATTTTTAATTTTCCTTTGCTCTTTCCAATATAAAATATGTGAACTTTCCTTGCACTTTAGTGTGGCTAAGATGTGCATGTTGCGTTAGATATGTGGTCATACTAAAAAAGTCTGTTTGAGGAATGAGACAACTAAAAAAAGGTAGAAGTAGCACCTATTGAAGATAAGACACGAGAGTCCCAATTGTGGTGGTTTGGTCATGTGCGCAGAAGAAGACCGAGTGATGTACCTGTTAAATGAGTTGAGAGGTGGGGAGGAGCAGGCGCGGCTCACGTGAAAGTGGTGCAGGTGAACAGGGGCCCCATTTGAAGAAGAGGGCCTCATATTATTGCACATATTAGGCACATTAGGAAAAATATACTTCATATATTATTAAGTAGTTTTGCACTTTGGCCTGGTGAAACATTTCGGACGAGCTGCAAACGACTCTTGAGAGGAACTCGGGAAGAAAAAGAACTGTGAACGACTCTTCGTAAGAACTTCGAGTGATTACAATATCCGAGAATAAGTAATTCATTATACATCATGATCGAGGGATTTAGTAATTACTCCATAGTATTCATAAATTATAATACATCCGGGCATTCGGCACATCTCTCTTCTTCACAATCAGCACTCCCTACCCCACGCAGCTATGCTAATACGCTTCCTCTGTTCTATTTCACATAATCACAATTAACACCTTCTCGTAATCACACTTCCCAAATCTCAATTTCAATTTCCATAGAAGCTCAGAACTCAGAAGTCTCCATTGAATCAATGAGTTATGCAGGTTGTGGCTTCAATACAAGATATCTCCACTTCCACTGCCGAATCCATACTCCATATCCGATGCAGAGAGCAAAGGTTGAGAGGCGTAGAGTATGAATCTCTTCAGTCTTGCTCTTAATCACTCCAGCCTCCAGTTCTCCACGAGTGGTAGTCCGCTAGTATTTACTTTTATTGATCCAGACTCCGGTGCAAGCCTGAAGTCTGAGACAGTAAGACTCACAGCTTTGTTTCATTCATTTGACTCCTTTTAGGCTTTTAGCTATTTGTTATCTTTTCCTTTAAAGGTGTTCAGATTATCTCCTTGAATTAGAAAATATAAAAACTTAAGGACGAACCCACGAACAGAAACCAGGGCCTGCCTTGCTCTTTGTAAGGGACTAAATGGGCCTCCTTTTAATTTTCAAACAGGGCCGCGCCTCGAGAAGAGGTGGGGAGGAGAGGGAGAGGAAGAACCAAACAGACGTGGGGGGTTAGAGTCAGGACTCAGGAGTGATATGTTTCTTCTTGGATTGCATGAGAGTATTGGGTTAGATGAGAGTATGATTTTGGAGAAAGCAAAGTGGAGGGAGAATACTCGTGTGGAGGATTTATCTCTTTTCATCCTTTTATCATTTTATCTTCTATATCTGTTTATCTTATATTTTTATCCTTTTTATCTTATCATTTTTATCTTTAACTTATATATATCTTTGTCTTACATTTATCTTATCTTTTCTATCTTACCTTATCTTTTTAACTTTTTTATCTTTTTCAGCTCTGATTTCATGTCAATTCACGTGAGCCGACCCCAAACTCTTTTAGGCTAAGGCTTGGATGTTGTTGTATTGATACTCATTTTATATATGTGGCTACGGAATTTCAATATATGTAACTAGTAAGCATGTTTCACTTTCCTTTGCACTGTCCACAAGATCAGACAAAAAGCAAGCCTAAATTGTCAATCAGAGAATCTGTTAAATTATTATTATTACTTTATTTGAAAGTATGTAATTTAGGGAAGTTATAATTAGGTATTAAAGGCAGGATATCTTGCATTAATGGTAAAGATCTCCTGATTTTTTTCCTTGTAAATGTATTTATTTATTGCCTATATAAGTGTGAATAAGGAAGGATCTCAGTTCTTTCAGCAATTCTAGTTCTTAGTTCTTCCCAGTTTTATTATTCTCTAGTAATATTTGTGACATGGTATCAGAGCCATAAGCCCTGTTCTTCAAGTTCCTGTTCAAAACCCTAAATTTCCCTAGGGTTTTGTCTCAGATTTTCGTCACCTCAGTTGTAGCCATTTTTCTTTTCAGATCTACTTATTTTCTTCTCAGATCTGTGCGTTTTTAGCTTTAGATTCAGTGCTTATCTTCTGGGAAGTAAACATTCTAGTGCTTTTTTTATTACTTTCTAGTCATCATGGATAAATTAGAAACCTTGTGTGCTCGATTGGATGGCAAGAATTATGTTACTTGGGCATTCCAATTTGAAACGTTCCTGAAAGGAAAGGATTTGTGGGCGCATGTGGATGACTCTTTATACAGAAAACTCTGCTTCTGAGGATGTTACTTGGGCAGTGAAAGATGCCCAAATTCGTAGTTGGATATTAGGGTCAGTGGATCCTCAAATTGTCCTCAACTTGCGTCCTCATCGCACAGCTCGAACCATGTGGGCTTATCTACGACAAGTTTATCATCAGGATAACTCTGCTCATCAATTTCAGTTGGAGTTGGATATTTCGAATTTCCAACAAGGCTCCCTCACTGTTCAGAAATACTATTCCAAACTTCTTTACATTTTGGTCTGAATACATCGACCTATCCCTTGCTGAAGTGCCAGATACTGCTGTAGAGTCTCTTCGGGATATGTTACAGACCCGTCACTGCAATCAATTCTTGATGAAATTGCGTCCTGAGTTTGAAACCATTCGCACCTCACTATTGAGCAGATATCCAGTTCCCTCTAGAGATTTGTTTCCGGGAACTTCTTTGTGAAGAGCAACGCTTGCATACCCAGGCTACCTTGGAGCAGGGTTGCTTATTCCACTCAAGCTAAGCCGCATTCCAGAAACATGAGTACCACACAATGTTATTCCTGTAAGAATTACGGTCACATCGCACAAAAATGCCCTAATAAGGTTTGCAGCTACTGCAAGAAGCCCGGTCACATCATCAAAGATTGCTCCATTCGCCCACCTCGTCGAAAAAATACTGTGTATCAGGCTACAACAGAAGATCTGGTCACTTCTCCAAATGTTTCTGGGGCTGCGTATCCAGCTGCTTCTGCCACTGCTCTTACACCTGAAATGGTACCTCTGCATTGGGGATTCAAGATAATTCTTTACTCTATTCTAACTGGTTTCTAGATTCTGGAGCCTCAAATCACGTGACTTCTTCGGTACATGGACTCACTAATATTCGCAAATATGATGGTTCTTCATCTATTGAAACTGTCAATGGTAATAAGCTGCCTATTACTGCCATCAGTGATATTTCTCCTCGGGTTAAAGATGTATTGTTTGTCCTCAATTATCTACAAGTCTTGTTTCTGTTGGTCAACTTATTGATGATAAGTGTGATGTGAAATTCTCTTCCAATGGATGTCTTGTGCAAGATCAGGTGTCAGGGGAGTTGATAGCGAAGGGGCCTAGGATTGGACGTCTCTTTCCATTACATTTTCCTAAATATAATTATGTTTCAACTTTTGCATGTAATAAAAACTCCGGATCGGTGTGGCATAGGAGACTTGGCCACCCGAATCCTCGAGTTCTTTCTCATTTGTTACAACTTGGTCTTTTAGATAATAATAAAGAGAATGGTGTCGCGGAACGCAAAAATCGTCATCTTCTTGATATGTTCAGACCTTACTTTTAGAATCCAAAGTTCCTACTCGATTTTGGGTTGAAGCTTTGTCTACAGCAGTTTACCTAATAAACAGACTCCCATCACAGGTCTTGGGGTATGAATCACCTTATTTCCGGCTAAATAAATGTCATCCAATATACACTAATCTTCATCCTTTTGGTTGTGTGTGTTTTGTTCATCTTCCACCCTCAAAACGCCATAAACTCTCTGCCCAATCTGCCCGGTGTGTATTTCTGGGATACAATGTCGGTCAAAAGGGATTCGTGTGTTTTGATCTGATAGCAAACAGATTGCGAGTCTCTAGAAATGTTATATTCTTTGAAAATCAGTATTTCTATCATAGTTGTGTTCCCAATAATCCATCTTCTGTCATATAACCTGAATTTGAAAGCTTTTCCAATCCTCCTCCTCTCAGCACCCGATTCAAAGGCATAATGTATGAAAGACGTCGTCCACCTGCCTCTTTATCATCCCCTATCCTGCCATCAGATCCTATGCCAGATCCTCCTCTTGAGAATATGAGTAATGTGAAGATTCCTCTTCGCCGTTCTACACGACGTTCTGTACCACCGGATCGGTATGGCTTCTCATCCTCTTCTCTTGCTCTTGATGCCACCATTGCATCCGTTGTTACTTTCTTGTTATACACAGGCTGCCAAACATAAGTGCTGACAGGAAGCAATGCAGGAAGACTTAAGAGCATTGGAACTTAATCAGACATGGGATGTTGTCACATGTCCTCCTAATATCATTCCTCTAGGGTGTAAATGGGTGTATTCAGTCAAAGTTCATCTCGATGGCAGCATTGATCGTTATAAAGCACGTTTGGTGGCACTCGGCAATCATCACGAATATGGTGTAAATTATGAGGAAACCTTTGCTCCGGTAGCAAAAATGACAACAATTCGGACAGTTCTCGCCATTGCCGCTTCCCAGGGATGGTCTCTAAGTCAAATGGATGTGAAAAACGCATTCCTTCATGGTGATCTCAAAGAGGCTCTTTATGCGTGCACCTCAGGGTCTTTTCTCCTCAGGGTCTTTTCTCTGGTCCCACCACAAAGGTTTGTAAATTACACCGTTCTTTATATGGCTTGAAACAGGCTCCCCATGCTTGGTATGAAAAATTTCGTGCCACACTTCAACAGTTCTTGTTTCAGCCAAGCAAGCATGACACATCCACGTTTCTTCGGCGTACCTCAGACGGGATTGTAGTCCTTGACTATGTAGATGATATTGTTATCACTGGAACGGATCAATCCCTTATTTTCAAGCTCAAATAGCACCTACATAGTTCTTTTCATATGAAGGATCTTGGGGGGCTTTCATATTTTCTAGGACTCGAGGTTACTGTGGGTTCCACTGGTATTTTTTTAAATCAATCCAAGTATGCCCGTGATCTCATTGATTCTGCAAGTCTTAGTGGCACATCTCCGGTTGATACTCCAATGGAGTTAAACATTAAACTTCGAAAAGATGAGGGAGATCTTCTTCCAAACCCGACAGTGTATCATAAGCTTGTGGGCAGTTTAGTGTATCTTACGATTACTCGTCCAGATCTCTCATTTGCAGTTCAGCAAGTTCGTCAATTTCTGCATAATCCTCATCATCTCCATATGGCTGCAGTTCGACGTATTATTCGATATATTCATGGCACTATTACCAAGGGACTTTATTTTCCAACCGGTCCTTCTCTTGAACTATCCGCCTATAGTGATGCTGATTGGGCTGGTTGTGTAGATACTTGCCGATCCACCACAGGATGGTGTATGTTTGTGGGGGCTGCTCTTGTTTCTTGGAAAAGCAAGAAACAGGATCGGGTTTCTAAATCATCTACCGAGTCAGAATATCGTGCTATGTCACTTGCTTGCACAGAAATCATATGGTTACGTGGTTTACTAGCTGAACTTGGCTTTTCACCTAATGGGCCTACTCCATTGCATGTCGATAACACTAGCACTATTCACATTACTGCTACTCCAGTTTATCACGAGCGCACGAAACACATTGAAGTTGATTGTCACTTTATTCGTGAAGCATTTGAATAGCAAGTTATTTCCTTACCCCATGTATCCACGAATCTTCAAGTGGTCGATATATTTACAAAGGCTCCCCCTCATCCGCGTCATCAGTTCCTTGGAAGCAAATTGATGCTTGTTGATCAACCCATCAATTTGAGGGGGGATCTCAATCATAGAATCTATTGAATTATTATTATTATTATTATTATTATTACTTTATTTGAAAGTATGTAATTTAGGGAAGTTATTATTAGGTATTAAGTGCAAGATATCTTGCATTAATGGTAAGGATCTCCTGATTTGTTTCCTTGTAAATGTATTTATTTCTTGCCTATATAAGTGTGAATATACAACTGAGGAAGGATATCAATTCTTTCAGCAATTCTAGTTCTTAGTTCTTCCCAGTTTTATTATTCTCTGGTAATATTTGTGACATAAATAACATTGCACGTTTTGTTCCTTCCTCCAGCATTTTCTAGATCCAAACATACCCTACTTTTGTAGGGAATTACACACAAACACACACACACATTGTCTATTGATATATATATATATATATCACTAGAATTTCTATATATATATATATAGAAATTAACAATATATATAGAAATTAGCATAAACATGGTTTACCTAATTTACTGCTCTGGGAATGGATGACTTCGTTGATTTCAGGGCTCACTAGGACAGCACCAATTGGCATATATGCAGAAGAAAGAGCCTGGAAATTTTGAAGTATTAGTTGAAACATAGGTTGTGACAATTTACTTAAATGATATATCTTATCTACCTTAGCTATGGAGACAAGATCGGGTTTGATATTATATTTGTCACAGCCAAATTTTGTCCCAAGCCTGCCAAATGCACATATCACCTCATCCGCAATGAAAAGAATGTCATACTTTTTAACTACAGCTTGAACCTGCATATAAGAATGATTAAAAAATTTAAGAAGCGTGTAGAAAATGGCTTGAACATAAGTATATAACATGAAACTGTGAAAGAGATGCCAAAAGCACGAATATATATACCGACTAGCGAAGAGAAAATGTTCAGATGCCTAAATAAAGCGTATTAGAGAAAAACAGATCTCCACTGCAAGATTCACAATAAAACCTTGTTTGATCAAATGACAACTTTTTAGTTTTTCTATGGTATAACTCCTGTAACTCCTGTAACTTTCTTTGTTATTTACAACTTGTTTTTTTTAAACTAAACTAATCACATTTACATTTTTAATGACTTCTTTAATAGATGAAGGAGAGAATCTTTTTTATTGTCGATCTGCAATTAGTTTGTTTCTTTAATTAAATTTATCTTATTTAGTTTGTTAATGACTCTTTTTTATGGAAAATTACATGAAAAAGTAGATTTATTCGTCGACAAAGAGTTCTTTTTGTTAGTCATCAGCAAAGAGCTTTTTATCTTTAAACAAGAACTGTTTTCTTTTCTTGGAACAGTTTTGTTGGGAGCGAGTAATTAGTTCCCATACAAAAAAGAATGGGAACGAATAATGGAGCCTCACCTTATCAAAATAAGTAGCTGGTGGCGGAATAACACCGCCTGCTCCCATGACAGGCTCCGCAATGAAAGCAGCTATCTATTAAATGGAAAAACCAACAGACACACACAAATAAAGGAGATTAATTAGGAGCCAACAGCCAAACCATGGTTAACATTATAATAATCAAAGTAAAACAGAATATCATAGTATGAACTTACTGTGTCGGGTCCTTCTTTGAGGATAAGATTTTCCAAGTTATTTGCCAACCTAGTTGAGAATTCCTCCTCCGTCTCGTCTGAGAAAAAGAGATATATGTTCTCAATGCACACTTTCTCACTTTAAAAAGGAAACAGAATCTATGTTAAGTACCTGGAAGATGATAGCGCCAATAATGAGGGCAGTCAGTGTGCAATACAAATGGGGCAGGCAGATCAAAACTCTGATGTAGTGCTGGAAGGCTTTTTTATGGAATAAAGAGGAAAATAGCAAAATAACAGTTCAAACTTCAAATTTATAATAATTTTCTTGCAAGGCTTAAAAGAACAGTTGAAAAGAATGTTTACCCAGAAAGACTTGCTGAGATGAGTGTCGATCCATGATATCTGCCAGAATAAACAAAAAAAACATTAAATTGGTAGCATTTTGAGTGGGGAGGAACTAGCATTTTGAGAATATATGATAAGAACAGAAAAATAAAAATCAACGGGGTGAACCGTTGCCCAGATAATCAACGATAAATAAATACCGGTGCCCAGAGCCAAAAGGCTAAACCAACTTTTATTCCAAGATAATAAGAATGAACCCTGGCAAGGGGTATAAATAGCTTCTACAAGCCCAAATTAATTAAATCCTGATTAGGCCAATACTAACTCTACTAAGTACTCTACTAATAATAGGCTCAAACTAGAAAACATAACATAAACTTTATAATAATATATAAAACTATAACCCTAACCCACAACCAGCCCACGGAGGTGGGCCCAAGCCCGTTCCCGCCCCTTGATCTCTCTGCTCTCTATCAACCCATCCTCCTTCGAAACAACCTTGTCCTCAAGGTTGGAATCCGAAAACTGCCTCACAGAGCTCTCTTTAATCCTAGGATCTGATTTAAATGGATTGTTTTCTCTTTCTTTGCGCAGAAGAGGCACTTCTTCAGCTCTTACACCAAAAAGGAAAAAATTATTTTCCCCAATTTCTTCTCTGATTTCCATATTAGCCCCGTCCAGTGTTCCTATGATTAGGCACCCATTCAGTTCAAATTTCATATTTCTATTCCACCTGGCCTCTAGCAGTACAGCTTTTGAGGGGAATGAGGACCAATCAAGCCTACCCTTCCCATCATTCCTCTCCTTAAATATGTATATGGTATCCTGAAGTGGCGCGCCACATAGCAAAATTTGTTGTTTAAGACTTAAAAGTTTTCCACTTTCTATTGCATCGCCGGGATCAAAGACAGCACAAATATGGTGAGCACTAGAGTGAAACTGTGCAGCAGATTCATATTGACCACCGTTAACTTGAAATAAGTTTATGTCCTCTGCACTAGCTTTGGCCTGCCAAAGTCTTGCAACTTCCCAGGGACTGAATTTATCAAGCCAACCTTCAGTAACTTCCTCTTGTCTAGCTTCTATAATATGTTGCTTGTGTACTCCAAACTTGTACCTCAGTCCATAAACCCATGCTGGCGAATCTAGGGTTGCCATGGAATCAAGAAAGCAAGAAGCAAGCCTTCCCGTTCCACAACTTCTTAGTGCTGCATCTTTTTCGTGCCCAGCAATCTCCTCAGGTTTGCACGCAGATGTTGACGCAGAATCCGGTGACGCGGCTGCCGATGAGTGCCCTTCTGCCGTCGGCAGCATAGAAGTCTTTATGAGCGCAGCCAAGGAGGAAGTGACACCGCGCGGCTGTCCGTTGATGCTGTGCGCAGATACCGTGGGGCTGCCAACCGTGTCCGGGCTTGTTTCCGTCATGACCGGCGGAACAAACGCCTTGGTAAGCGCTGCCAAGGAAGCGGCGATCTCTGCCAGGCGATTGCCGTGCTCCTCTAGGGTTTGATTCATCCGAATTTGCTTGGCCACCATCTCTGTCAAACAGTCAATCTGAGATCTCATCATCCTGGCGGGACGGGATCCGGCAGGTCGGACCAATTGATAAGAACAGAAAAATAAAAATCAACGGGGTGAACCGTTGCCCAGATAATCAACGATAAATAAATACCGTTGACCAGAGCCAAAAGGCTAAACCAACTTTTATTCCAAGATAATAAGAATGAACCCTGGCAAGGGGTATAAATAGCTTCTACAAGCAACCCTAATCAAGCCCAAATTAATTAAATCCTAATTAGGCCAATACTAACTCTACTAAGTACTCTACTAATAATAGGCCCAAACTAGAAAACATAACATAGACTTTATAATAATATATAAAACTATAACCCTAACCCACAACCAGCCTACGGAGGTGGGCCCAAGCCCGTTCCCGCCCCTTGATCTCTCTGCTCTTTATCAATATATGTAGAATATTGCATTTAATATAAATTTTGTTATGATTAAAAATAGGGAAAATTCCCAAAATATGAGTAAAAACGTTATGAAATTCCAAAATAGGAGTACTATGTTTGTATTCCCTAAACAAAAGTAATTACTGACAAGGTTAGAAAATATGGCCATGTTTAAAGTCTGATGATGCCAAAACATAACAGTAATTACTCCTATTTAGGGAATATAAACACCGTTTGTGGAATTCACAAACATTTTTACTCCTACTCAAGGGAATTTGTTTTAAAAATATACTAGTCGCCATGTGTAACACCAAGAATGTAGACTGACTTTGGAAAAAAAATAAAGAGGAAATACATTAAAAAAATAATTCCATAAAAATCCCCCAAATTGGGGGAGTGAGAAGTAACTATTTGAGGAGTTGGGAGGATTTATAGCCCCACCACTTTCCCTCCCCCAGTCAAACACACGCGGTACGCCACTTCTTCACTTTCCTCCCCTCCCCTCCAAAATTTTCATACCAAGGAAGACTGGATGAACAATAGAATAAAATGCATTCGAGGAACCATATTACGATTTTGCACGAGCAATGAATTTTTTCTTGTTTGGCCTTCCAAGTGCATTGTTGTAATACCATACCAGCTTCACCTGCAGAAAAAAAAAATCATTTATTTTACTTAGTGGGGTATATGTATGGTATAGATAGAAATTTTGTTTAAATAAGACAGTTTAATCCCATTTCTTATAAAATGTTTAGTGAAAGCTAGTTCTCGAAGTAAACTTCACAATGCTGGTGCAACCATATGCATGATACATAAGTGGAGGAGATAAGATGTGGGAGTCTCACTTGTGGTGGTTTGGTCATGTGCATAGAAGACCGAGTGATGCACCTGTCACATGAGTTGAGATGTGTGGAGAAGAGACATGGAAGAGAGGGAGAAGAAGATCCAAACAGACGTATATTAGAGGAGTCAAAACTGATATGTTTCTTCTTGGATTGGATTGGGGCATTGCATTGGAGAGAGCAAAGTGGAGGGCGGCTATTCATGTGGAGGAGTGATCTCTTATCATCTTTTCCCCCTCATCTTCTTCTTCCTCTTCTTTTTCTTTCTTGTTGTTTATCCTTTTATCTTTAGATAATAAAGATATATATAGAGAGAAAAGATCAGGTGAGAAGTGCCCCTTAAAATGAAAAGTGAGAACTAATCTCAGCCCTTGGATTTGCATTTAATCTTACAACGCAGTAAACTTATAGACTGAATATACGAACTTATAACCAATAAATCATAACTTATAAAGCTCTCCATAATAATTACGAAAATGCCACCGCGTTAAAAAAAATCAAGGTTTCCTGACTTATTTTTTTGTGGTGGCATTTTCGTAATTATTTTCGAGGGGTCTATAAGTTATGATTTATTGGTTAAAAGTTCATATATTTAGTCTATAAGTTTAACTTCGCGGTTTTCAGCCTAAGAGCACTTCTCACCTGACCCGCTCTCTCTCTCTCTCTCTCTCTCTCTCTCTCTCTCTCTCTCTCTCTCTATATATATATATATATATATATATATATATATATATATATATTCTTTTTATCTTTTTTATTCTATCATTTTTATGTATATCCATCTCTTTTTTATAATATCTTTTTTATCATAGCTTATCTTTTTATCTTTCTTATTTTTCTTTTCCTTTTGGTTACGATATCATGTATTGATTCATGTTAGCCGACCCCCAAAATCTTTTGGGACTAAGGCTTAGATGTTGTTGTATTCTTACATGACATGGTTGTAATAAACTTAAGAGAGTGAGAATGAAAATTTACATATAAAGATATTATTTAACCCAGGAAATTCTCAGATACTCCTTTTAATCACTTTCAGTTGCTCTAATTTGAGTAATTTCCTTTTATACAAGTTTATTATTACTTGATCCGTTTTCCTTTTTGGCAACTTTTCTTACTTTTCATCTTCAGGAGACTAATTAAACATTCTTACTTTTTCATCTTCCTTTTCCAACTTTTCCTGCTTTTCATCTTGTGTCTCTGACTTTTTACTTTTTCTACACTATTCACAATCCTTGCAACTTTACTCTTAATTTCCGTGAAATAATTGTTGGACCAGGTTATTTTTAAACCTAAGACTAATAAATGCAAACAAATTAGTAAAACAAATATCAATCATCCCCTTTCCTTCTCTCCACAATTCATCAACTAAACAATCCCTAAGAGTTAAGAATTAAGCAGCATGAGATCTGTAGAATCAAAGTTAGTAGAAAACCTGTGTGTCATTTGCTTCAGATCCACTATTGGTGAAAAAAACTTTTGCCATTCTTTTTGCAGTAAATGTCTCTTGAAGCTCCTTGGCAAGGTCCTGTATGTGTCAAGAAATTTAGAGATTTTATCATCAAGCAACAAATACAAGCATATATATTGATTGAAAATTCAACATACCAATGAAGGCCTTGTTGTACGGTTCCAAAATGAGTGATAAAATGGCAAAGTATTCAGCTGTCTCGTAGCAGCATCAACAAGTCGGGGTTCATTTCCCCCTGAAACTCCATAGGACCAATCATGTTAAGTGAAGTGTAAGAATTTAGTAAAAAATAAATGATAAAATAAACATTCAGTGAAGGAACAAAAAAACGTGAAATCCCAATTAGGGTCCACTCTCAACCATGGCATGATAAAAATTCAAGAATTTCATCTCATTATTCCTGTGTAAGAAGGTTGTGGCAGAAAGGGCATCAGACATAAATCATGTCTGCTATAATTTTTAGTATGAATTTACATTGTTTGCAATTTTTATATAACCAATTGACTATATATTAAATGTCAGCAACCATGACAGAGTTGGGATTACAGTGATGATGAAGAACGTAAGTGATGCAAATTGGCAATCAATATATTCATAAGATTATAATCCCTCTGTCCCCCTCCCCTATCTTTGTCCCATTTTACCTTTTTCGTCCGTCCCAGTAAATTTTTCTATACCATATTTGGTAACATTTGAGTACATGGAATTGATTCTTACTTTATTCACACTTCATCAATTTCATACTAATCAGTAATCACACAATTCCATTTTTCTTAATAACATCGCCACTCCCTCATGTACCAATCTTAGGGGACCAGGGTAGTATTAAGCAAGCCATATGTAGTATGTTTAGTCCACAAGTTGCAATTTCTAAGCCCCACTTTTCTTTTTGGTAGTCCTACAATTATGTCCCTTTCTTTTTTTGAACTTCACTAAGCTTCGCTTGCCACTTTTCCCCTTTTCTGATTTTGACATTTGGAACTATTCTTGCAACTCTTTATTAAAGTCACCCACCTTTTGAAGGGTGAAATTGGAAAAGTAACCAATTATTATTTGTTTCTTTAATATGCATACAGAAAATGATTGCGGCATATTTTGGAAGCCGTGGAGTAGCATGTCAAAACAACTGAATATAGAACTCTAACGATGGTGGTTTTACCTAAAGCTGTGCACCATAAACCTGCAAGGGAATCAAGATACTTCTTCCCATTCGCATCATAGACATAGGAACCCTGTAGAAATCCCACAAAAAAGTTGGTTTTATCCCAGAGACTCAGAGTCTACTCAGTACTCACTGAGACCATTTAATTCTTTGATGGTACGTTTAAAAATTGGAAAATGCTAGGGAAAGAAAATAGAGAGGAAATTTTGAATGAAAGAATATGTCAAGGAAAATAAAAACTGCTTCAAACTATTTATATATCGATTTTAAATATCGGCTCGAATTCATGTTATGTGGATATTTTTATATGGCCTAAAGACTAAAAAAATCTAAATATATGTGAGTATTGAAATAAGTGTTCATCAATTTTTATTTAATTTCTAATGTACAATCAAACATCAATTACCAATTCCTGTTGTATTGTTTTTTCATTTCCCTTCCATTTTCAGATTTCCAAACATAGTTTAAATGGTTAAAAAACAAAGATCCACACCTCAGACTTTTCTATTATTAAGGGATCCAGATCAGTGGTCTGCCATCCGGCAGTAAAGGGTGCTAACATATCATGACCTTTGAATCTGAGAACATGAAGGACTCATTAGTCAATCAGCAAAGCTTTATCTAAAATTATTATTTGGATAAACAGTCCAGAAAAAGAAAGTAAGAGTGTGTTTGATAAGGGGGAATTTGTTGAAACGGCTGAAACTGTGGATGAAATTGATGAAACTGCTCAAATGGCTAAATTATGATAATAAAAATAAAGAGAAAACACATAAAAAGGAAAGCCGAAATGGTTATCTTTAACAGCTTCAACCAAAAAAAAACTTATAGTCCTACTTTTTATTAACTCTCCCGTCTCGACCAATAACTAGTTTTGTACGCACAACCAAATAAATTAGAGTTTGATAAAAAAACATACTGAGAAGCCGAGAAAAGTAGCTATAGAACTCCACTAAATGTGATCTTGCAGAGAGAGATATTGGTATGGTCATACGGATAGTCGGATATAGACATATTATCTTACCCTCTTTCGTAGGTGCTTGAATCATCAGATGCCTTTGCACTACTCCATCTAGCTGGAGAGTGACTGTAAATAATAGTTCCATGCAAACCACTAACAATAGGAAGACATTTTACATAGGAGCCAACCTGTAAGAGAGTTTGAATGAGCAGGGATAAAAGTGGAATTTAACAAATAAAAAATTTATATATTATCTACAAGTGGTATATATAAAACATTGGTTTTATACAACAACAACATTACCCAATGCCGCAAAGGCTCCCACCTACAGTTGGGGTAAGGGCAGGTCGGATGTACGCAGCCTTACCCTTGTACTAAAAGCAAAGAGAAACTGTTTTCAGATGACCCAGAATTCAACATAAAACATTGGTTTTATGTGGAACCAAAATCTTTTTTCTTGTCTATCTTCTCAACACAATTTGATTTTCCATTGCAATATCAGCAGTGTGAGAATAGCACAACATTACATGCTCAATTGAGAAAATAATTTTTTTTAATAACAAAGAATTTGAATACTGGTTTGTGCTGTTAATTACATTAACTTTCCATCAAGACTAATGTAAAATGCTTATCAACCTTAATACCAGCAAAGTATTTCAGTGAAAAACAAAAATAAATCCTCAGAGAAAGGAAAAATTATAATTAAATAAATAAATATATAAAACACTAATGATGGAGATATTTAAAGTACAAAAGTACAGCCTTTGTTATTCGTAAGACATCCAAGATTTCCCCTAAGGGATGTTTGGATGGAGGGAGGGCTTTGGAGTTTGGAGGGCCTAAGCTACGTCTCTATAAAAATGTTTCTGAAAATGAATATAGGGTGATTGAAATCTTATATAATCACATATTTCGTATTATGTTGTTCCCTAAATTCTTATAAAATTTCAAAGACATTTTAAGATATACTGTTGGCCACAAAATCCCTCTCCTGCAAGCCCCTCCGAAATCCAACTTCCAAACTAGCCCTAAGGGCCTTGTTTGGATGGAGTGTTTTGGTGAGCAAGACTTTGGAGGTCCAAGTGTATATTGTGGTTGGGCGATCATACAAGCACCAATGCACTGGATCCCTTCAGAACTCCGAAGTTAAGACTTAAGCGTGTTTGTACGAGAGTAGATTTAGGTTGGGTGACCCCTGGGAAGTCCTCATGTTGCATCCCTTTAATATTGGTGGGGAAAATTTTGGATCAAATAAAAAGAGTCCTTTACATAAAATTTAAGAAAAAATCTGGAGCATCGGATTTATGATCTAATGGCTCTAAATATAACCAAAATGCATTAAAGTGAATGCAAAACGCAGTCACATTTTCATAAATAAATCAAAGTTTTTCTTCATTGCGAAAAGTGCACTTCAAGTATGTAATAGTGTATGGTAGGTATATGACTAAAAGTGGATAGTGAAAATTATCTGAAATTAATGTTCACACTTTGTATGGGAGACCACTTTTTATTGGAATAAGACCCTATATGTATGTATATGTGTGTGTGTCTATATATATGTGTGTGTGTGTCTATATATATATATATACATATATATATATATATTTATTTACTACCTCCGGTTCCAAAAGATCTTGACACTTTGACTTCACAGTTTTTAAGGAAATAAACACTGTTTGGCACTGTTTGGCACTGTTTTGTGTAGATTTATTTGCCAAATAAGGCAAATAAGGAAGTGTAAAGATCTTTCTGGTACTGCTAAAAATGGAAAGTGTAAAGATCTTTCAGAACCGGAGGGAGTATATATTTGAAAATGTGTAAAATTGAAATACTAAATATGTGGTCATTTAGCATTTCAATAGCCTTTAGAAATGTTCTATCAGGATTTAAACTAAACCTCCAAACATTCCCCTCCAAACAGACCCCAAGGCACTAAACGAGGCACACCAGTGGCTGAATATGGGTAATGAAACAGTACTAGAACAATGGGTAATTAAAAGAGTCTAAATTTTGAAATGACCTACGACTAAAAATCAATTATATAAGCATACACCAAAATGGATGCCGAACAAGCATAACATGATTAACGGTGCTACATTAAAGCAATCCGAATTTTTCTCAGAAGTAAACCAATCCAACTCAAGCAAACGCGCACATGCAGACATGCTCATTAACAAAAAATACTAAATACAAACAATTATTCCAAAGGAATGCTAAAAAACATGACACCTTGTAGGAGGCTGTCTTTAGAGGGTATCCAAGAAGGCGATTGATCATCGTGATTGATTTTCTTTTGGTTCTCCGTTCCCTTCGGGTTCAAATTCAAAACTTCAATGAAGACGCAGAAAAACAATTAGCAGTAAGACCAAAAGATACACTCCGCCTTCCTCGAATGCTCAACGAGTTCGGAGATGCGGAATGAGATAATAAATTATGGGAGGAAATAAATTATGGCGTGTGCAAATAAGACGGAGTAAGTCAGCAATGATTGAAGGGGGGAGGCTGATTTTTTAGAGCTAGACAGGATGGATTCATGTATTATTTTGCAAGATTATTTTCAATAATCTGAGATTTAGAAAAATCCTTAAATAAAAATAAAATAAAGATAAAGTTTTTAATAGGATTATCATTTTTTCATTTCCTGATTTATTCAGTCCTATTTTGAAAAATTGTAATCAACTTATTATTTAATAAGACTAAATAAGGAGATTTACCTAAATAAAAGGATAATTGTAACAATATGAGTTTAAAGTTTAAATTCCCAAAATAGAACCAACTCTTCCCATTCTACTTTTTCTTTTATCCTTCCTAATAGTACTTTTTCCTAAATAAAAGGATAATTGTCGCCTTTTTCCGCGCGCTTCTTGTCCAAGCCGATGCGGGCGTTGGGGGCGCCGCCGTTGAGCTTGTTGTGTAGGTCACGTGCGAGGTCGATGGCTTCCTGGAAGACATCCCCTCGGAGGCCTTGTCGGCCGTAACATCCTCCTCGTGCTCTTGGTTCTCTTGTGCCTCAGGGATGGCCTTGCCGAGGAGGTTGCAGTTTGACTTAGTTCTTCCCAATGTCAGTTAGTTGTGCTTGGTAGCGACGAAGGAGGCTAACTTGATTGTTCTAGCTCTCAATGAAAGCACCAAATGATAGACTATAAGTCTAGAGAGAAGTGAGAGCTAGAGAGAGAAGTGCAGTAAATGCTTTGTATTAATGATTTTGTCAACCCCTATAACTACTCCCAAGGGGAGTATTTATAGAGAAAATTAGGGCTGGGCTCCCAAGTCTTGGGCTTGGGAGGCCCATTACAACAGGGCCACTAATGGGCCGGATACAAAGTGTGTAGAAATGACTAAGTATAAAATCCTATTCTGGAGGCTATCCATGACCGATGAGACCATGGCCGACAAGGGCATGGCCGACGAAGACCCGACCGACGAGGTCACCCGGTTCTCCTAGCTTATGGATCACATTCTGAGTAGACTTTTTTCTGGCCGATGGAGGTCATCTGGTCGACAAGGGTCCCACCAGGTGATCGTGGTACCTTCTGTTCTCCTGAGTATGTGGGCCCTGGGGTCCAGACCCATATACTCCATCACCTTCTATATAAGGGCTTATTTGAACTTTTTTGGTTAGTACGTGGACTTATTTGCTCCTTTTTCCAAAAATCAATAAAAGTTGCAAGCTTAGATTCAAATAAGTTTACGACATGTGTCACTTATTTTCTTTTTCTTTCTTCTTCTTTTTCCTTGTTCCTTCCTTTGTCTTACGGTTGACTCTGTGTTTGCCCAGCCCTCCCTCCCAGTTACAGAGTGTTTTCTTTTGCTTTCATTTTCGTCTCTCTCATACTCAATTACAGTCCCAAGCAATAATTGACATCTAGAATCATAGACGACCCATGTAATTATATTATCAGGAGATGGGAAGTCGTGAGAAAGAAAAGGGATTGGGGGAAAAAGAGAGAAATTAAGAAAGAAAATAAAGAAAAGGAAAAAAGACAAATAGAAAAGGAGAAAATACAAAAAAAAAAAACAATGGATGCCACCTCATATCCAAGTCATCAACTTTACGTGCAACCGGGATGTTACTAGTTAAAAAAAACCAAATTGAATTTTTTCTATGTGTTCATGGGTTTAATTGGGTGATATATGAGTTGATTCTCTTAATTGACATTTTCGTAATAATAGAGAAATTTATTTGACACTTTCCCCTTTTATAACGATAATTAATAATTCTTACCTTAAGGAATGTGGCACACCAGAATGATGCAGAGCAGACTGTGCATATAGCTAGAACAAAGCGTACCCCCCCCCCCCCCATCGCCCGTGCGACAGATGCAAACACTTAAGGATCTGAGGCCTCTTGCACCTCAGCCTTCACACCAATTGGTGGGACAATTGGTCGGGGTGTTACAAGTGGTATCAAAGCAACTCTACGACAGTGTGCTGATTCTGTTGGATATCGGGCATGCACTTAGCATGAGAAGATTCTAGGATATGATTGAGATTGAATTGGCTTATAGGCGCAACGAGGACATCGCGATCTTAAGTGAGGGTGATTGTAAAACTTGAGATTAATTTAAAAGGATTAATAGTATTACCCATACCAAGAAGGTGCATCTCCTTTTAAGAGAGCTCATCAGCTAAAAACTCTAAGTTAAGTGTGTTTACACGGGAGTAGTCTTGGGATGGGTGACATCCCGAGAAGTTTCTTAGAACGGCCATGAGTGAGGTCAAAGGGTGCGGTAAAAGATTGTGCTTGGTTTGTGAAGACAGTATGTCACGCCCCGGACCTAACCGGACACGTCGACAACCCGCCGTACAGTACGAATAGTCAACCGCAGTCCAACTCATCCATACTATACGAGGCGTCATGAATATCATTCACACATAGTACATCCATAAACAAACATAATGTAAAACATTCATTTAAAACAACGGAAGCATTTAATAAAAGTGTCTTAGCCACACTTTGGCAAGCATGGGCATGCAAGCCCCCAAATAGTTATTCAAAATAATATCCATGAGCATTATTATAATTGTTTTGAAATCAGAAAACAGAAGAAGCACGAACCACGTCTTCTCCTTCGAATATCCCGAGCAACGGACACCGGTAGCAACCTTCAAGTCCTACCTGAAACTGTGAGGTGGCCTCCCCCGTGAAGGGGAGGTCAGTACTTGGAAATATTTGAAAAGTACAATACCAACTATACTAAGTATAATCAACGTTTTAATTTCCAAGACCCTCAAAATAGGGTGATATCATAATATAAATAATAATTTATATTTCCCACTTATTATCCTTATAATAAGTAAATTTATTTATTCGTCGACACACGGCGCTTCTTATATATCCCTTTTTATTTATCATTTGCACAACCCAACCCTTGGGTCTATTATTTCTACGGGACTTGCTACCGCTGTCCGAGACCTCGTGAGGCTCCCGGTTCGGACTCCAACATCCCGCCCCTGGACTCATACCCATCATCCCGTAGGAACGTAAGGCCCTTCGGGGTCCTATCTTATGTGTTACCGCTACCGGAACCTAGTTAGGTCTCCGATTCGGATTCCACCCTAACCCGTGATCACGATGTAAGTCCATGCTATCCAACCCCGCTCTCTAGAGTCGGGAAGGGCCATGGTCCTTACTATTTCCATAATTCAATCGGCTATCCACAAGGATTACCGAACACACCCGTAGGCCAATCCTATACTTAGGATCAATTTAATATTTACATTATCTTGGGTATCCCTTAAGGCCTACCCCTAGTATAACTTAAAGTTCATACTTTCCTACCTTAAAGCATCTCTTAAGACTACTTAAGGCATAACATTTCACAATCCAACCTTAGGATCAATCTTAACAATATTTCATTTTAATGTCGAACTAGTATCTTAATACTAGTCAAATTAATATCAACAAAGCAAGTTCTCAACTCATAGTCATATAGACAATTCCAACTGATTTTCCTTTGAAAATATCATTTATCTCAATATCCAAATTATCACTTTTAATCACTCACATATTATAATATGAAGAAAAAAGTATATTTCAACACATGTTTCATAATAAATTCCACTTTCAAGTCAACATACTCATAACCCACGAACATACACAATTTACTCCTAAATTTGTATATCTTGCTCCTTTTTCTCTAGACATTTAGTCTTTTCATTTTTAGGCATTATTAATCCTTAATAATCCACAAGAACACATTTAATTACCTTCGGTAATCTCATTAAAATTAACTCACTAATTATAAGCAATATAGTCAGTCATCCTCACCTTATGATGTGCTGAAATAGTTGCCTTTGTTGAGCTCCCCGATAAATCCTCGTTTTAAACCGATGCAAAGGCAAAACTGGACTGCCTGGTCAAAATCCGGGCGGCTTTCGTGGTCTGCAACTACGACTAGCTCCTTTGAAGTGGCGGTTTCCGGCGGTTTCGACTCCTATCGATTGGCCAACCCTCCTAAGTTAATTGTCACCACTTTATATCAATATTCTACACTTTTAAACGTGTAGAACTCATGATTTAATCCACCATATGATTTCTTAAAAATCATGCACAATAAAACTAGTTAAAAGAGTAGAAATTGTGTTCTTACCCTCTTCTCCTAGCTTTTCTTCTTGGATCATTCTCTCCTCTTGGTTTCTTCAGCTCCAGAACTTGAGAGCCTTTTCCCTGGACCTTATCTCCCTTGTGCTGGCCGAATGGATTGAAGAGAGGGTAGGGGAGAGGTCCTTTTCAACCAACACAATGACTTGTGTGGGATAGGACCCTAGTATGGGTTTTTGTCTCAAAGGAGACTTCCTCCCTCTCCCTTGTGCGTACCAGCACGTTTAGCTGCTCCCCTCCCTCATTATTTGATCAATCAGCACCCATAAAAACGTGGGGTGGCCCCCACTTATGTGGGAGGTCATCCCATTACGTCCCGGTGTGTTCAATCGGCCCCGAAAGTTGTATTTCTCGGTCCGTTTTAATCATATTTTATTTTATCGGGCCAAATAAAATATATCATGTGTTCCTAATAATTATGGGCCTTTAGAATAGATGTATATTCCCCAACATTAATTTAGGAGTCTCCGAAACTCATTTCGGGCTGTTATCCTTTAAATTGCCAATACCGGTAATTGGGCCCCGTTTGACCAACCGGTCAACTCCATGCCTTTCTTATGGCCCAAATAGAATATCCACCCCCATATAGGTGTCATCTAGACCAAGATGAATATAATATGTGGTTCGGGAATTATCGGGCGGTCCACGTTCCCGATGTGGGCCCCACATGCAATTTACTATTCACGTAAAAGAAATAATGAAATTTAACAATTACGCAAATTCATAAATCATCTTTCAAGGTTTATTACATAATTTACTAAAAGTAAATATGCTCGGGGTCGGTGTTACACAGTAATAGAGGTCTGGACAGTATCTGGAGTAACTACCTCAGGCTCTGCGGGGTCGGTGTCGTACACCTTAAACGAAGGCTTGGAGGTTGAGGCCATTCGGAGGGAGCTAGACATTATACCAGGATTTCAGAATCATGTACAGAGAGGCATA